ACTTTTCATTGCTATTTACAGAATAATTACTTTAAAAAGTAACAGCAGCTGTAAAATTCATGGTAAAACTTTGCAATGAATCCGCAGTCCAACCCTGGGGGGATCCATACGGATCAAGGATCACCAATGACCAGTGGCATTGATCGTCTCATTTAACTCTTGACCAGAAAGCAAAAAAAAAAAAAGCATCTTTTCAAAAATATTGATTAATTCAAGGTATTCCTTTTACCTCATTATGTTTTTACTTTCTATCCCTTTGAACCTTGCAGAATCATTGACTTTGTGTTTGAAACAAGTTTCCCAGCTGCTTCATTTTAATCCACTTCCATATCAATTGCAATTGCAAACATTATCTTATTTGGCTAAGGCTTTGACAAGTCCCTTTTTACAACCCACAGGAATTAAATTCTACGCTCAGAGAAAAAGACCAAGTTTCTGGCCTACAGAACTTCAAGATGAATGCTGCTTGCAGAAATGAATAGTGGGTGTTATTTCAATCACGCAATTGTCTAAAATTGTTGTTAAGGTGAACGAAAATAAGACTTTATTTGCTGTCTAACCACAGACGAGACCAGAATAAATCATAATCTCCATTTGTCATATAGTAAAAGGTCATAGTGCGCCACCTGAGCAATGATGAATTGGAATTTCAAACTTCCTAAAAAGAAAGAGTTCCTAAAAAGTATGTTCACACAGCAGTTTTACAAAGCTTCTCGTTTTTTGCAAGTTGTCAGAATAGAATAGTAAGTTTTTCAGTATGGTAGAAATGTAGTGAAGTGAACTCTCTGATCAACCTGGTCCCACCTCATGAAATCAATTATCTAGTCTTCACTGACTTATCTGCTATAATCACTTTTTCCCCTCATCTCTGGTGCATTGCCCAGTTGTGAATGGAAAGGTGATGGTTTTGGGCCACAGAATAAGATGACATCACAGGTTTTCCTTTGTTAAATGGAAATCTGACAGTTCCTCCACTTGTCTATTAGTTCTGGTGACTGATTAAATAAAACAGGCAGTAGTGTGAGTTAGTGAAATGAAACACACTCTGGCAGAACTAGCTGGCAATGCACCGCATTTTATAACATTAACTAAATACAGTGGCAAAGCAATTAAATATCTTTTACCAAGTATAATGAGACTTGAATGTCACTTTGAATGAATGACTGAATTTACGTGTATCCGGTAATAAAACAATTCTCTGTCTTGCACCATTTTAACAACCACTTACGTTTTATCAACTTAACCTCAACCTTTGACCTATTAGAATAGCAAGCCTCCACAGTGTCCCCTAAATTCTTCTAATCCAGTTTATATCAGTGCAATATGCAAGGTGGTACATAATGTAAAACTACATTTCCAACTCTATCACATTTTTTACAGGCCTGTCCATAAATACATGATTGATTTATGGAGCTGACAGCAAGCCAGTTGAAATAATCCACTTCTGTTCATACACACATATAGTATTAGGATCTTATCTAAGGACCTATCTTATAGTCTATCAAGGACGAATCGTTAAAGAATTGGACCTGGATGACCAGATGACAATCACATTGGTGCAAGATATGTGTATTTAAGTATGTGTTAAAAGGAAAAACTTGAAGAGGTGAATAAGATGAGGTAACGTATATGTCAATAAAGCATGCACAATATACCTCAGACTGCAATGCACATCTTGAAATGGTTGTGAAGTTCCCCTATAGTCAGCAGTGTGTTAGATGTGCCTGTGTGCAACAGCGCACATTATTTGTTCAACAAACGCAGGATGTGACAACCCTGTTTTTAAAATAGGGTGTTTGTGAGTACAGTGTTAAAAATCATTTTTCTGTGTTCTGCAGAAAAGTTCAGTCAATGTGCCAGTGTTTTCTTGGATACATTTCTTGGCAGCTTTTTGCCAAAAATAAATTGCTTATAAGCTCCTCCAGCACTGGGGGTGATGGGACAAACTGAGCAAGCAGGCCTCACTTCACTGTTGCTGTAGGAGTATAAAAGAAGTTGTAGGAATCAGTGATGACAAATAAGACATAACATTAGAGACACAATATGGTACATGTCACGATTGTGACTGTAATAATCTGTGAAATGATAGAAAACTCGATACCTTTTGGTTCTTTGTTGACAAAAAATCTGACATTAAAGCTAAAGTAATATTTTTGGATCACACAGCAGCCCCAAAGACTTTCAGCTGTCCACAGGGGGGTCTGACTTCTTAAGGTGGGGGATTGGTTTTAGGGTGAGTTACTGAGTGCGTAGGTTGTGAATTGTGGTTACACCTGATCTGAAGACTGCTAGACTCAATGCCATCACTATATCTTGTACATTTTCACATGGAGTCATAAGAACTGTATCTTTAGACACTGTCAGATAAGACATGCAATGAGACAGACAGAGAAATAGACAGAGAGGGAGACAATGGACCTCACTGACCTCCCAAGTAAAACAACGGATCACATGACTACTTATAAAAAGGTCGCCCTAAAGTGACTTTTAAGTCACTGTTTGTTTTTTCGGCCGTCAACGTTTGGTTTAATGCCCACACTCTCATCAGCATTGTTGCTGCAAAATGCAGTTGTTTCCGGCAAAAAACCTGCACGGCACCAAAACGACATACAAAGTTAGCAGCTAGCTGATTACTAAAGTGGAGCATTTAGCCACTAATAAGCCACTTTCATTATGAATTAGTGTAGACCAAAACCAAAGCTTAAAAGAGAGTGAATTGGACTTATATTTGACAGAGAGCCAGAAAATCAACTCCAAATGCTAATGTTTCACCTCATCTGCTGAATGTGTACACAGGCATCTGTTTGCTAACATGTCTACCTTTCCGAAAGTCAATGTTTTGAGTGTTTACATCTATTTTTAAAAAGCATTTTAACATTACACACAAAAAAATAAATGTGATCATTTGCATTTGTGTTTTGTGTTTAAATTTAACTATAAAATCACTTGGAAAATTGCTACAGCTGCAAACTTTGTATTTTAGAAAAAAAAAAGTGTTTTTCCAGTCTCCAATAGTGCTTTTAAAAAATGTGTATAAATGATACCTTTATCAATCTTACTTTTTTTCTGGAACAAGAGATATTGTGGCCAAAGCCAACTCTGGTTTCCAAACACTAAAATGAGACTGCTAGTTTGTTCAACTATTCCATGTTCCAAGAGGTGTAGATCCCTCAATATACTGTTGCCCATTTTCACATAATACATACTACCCACCTTGTACAGAATACTAAAGAAACATAGTAGTTGCAATTGGATTGCTGACTTACAAATATAATGTCATTTCATATAAGTTTCTGGAAGTGAATTTCATTTAATCTAGTTATAGATTTCTTGTAATAGCTACGGAAAAAACCTCACATTTACTTTCTACTGTGAGAAACGCCAATAATGTAAATGGTTTCAAAGCTCCCTGAGTAAGTTTAATATCACCCTGAAGCTCTTCAGAATAAGAGTGTGGTGAGAACTGTATCCTCCTCAAGGGATCAGGGGGCTTCAGTTTAGAGCTACAGCTTCTTTTCCACAGCCAGGCTCCTACTGATAATTTTTCTATATTGGCCCTCCATCAGCACTCCTGCAAAAACGCAATCTTTTCTTACATAGCGGAGTCTGTAAACTGGCAAGCAGAGCACACAGCTCAGCAGCCCCAAAGACTTTCAGCTGTCCGCAGGGGGGTCTGACTTCTTAAGGTGGAGGATTGGTTTTAGGGTGAGTTACTGAGTGCATAGGTTACGGATTGTGGTTACACCTGATCTGAAGACTGCTAGACTCAATGCCATCTTGTACATTTTCATATGGAGTCATAAGAACTGTATCTTTAGACACTGTCAGATAAGACATGCAATGAGACTTAGAAATAGACAGAGAGGGAGACAGTGGACCTCCCACTGATAATCACTGTGATTAATGGGCACTGCCTTCTCACTGGGTGGCACGTCTTGTAGACGTCTGTTCCGACCAGAAGGCAAATACCACAGAAGTACCAGCCACGTGTTTGGCCAGGCCCTCTGAAGGCCGTGGCATCAGTCAGACTGAGGGGCAGGCCACAGAACAAAGGTTTCACAACCTCACCCAAGGCCGAACCCAGTGGCTGATGTACAGCAGGCTGTTATTTTAACCATACTGTGGGAGGGCTGAATACTTGGATTTCTGGGTTCAAGATGACTTTCACTGGTCTGTCAGAGAAGAATTAACACAAGAATCACACTACAATTTTGTAACTGTTGATTTAAATCTGATCAAATGGTTTCTCCCAAATTTGGATTGATGGATATGATTCTAACTAGAGCAGGATCTCATTGACGTTATGCATTATGTCCCATTCCTGCACAAGATCTGATAGATCTCTCAAATCATATATCATACAAGGAGCAAGGCATTCTATGAAGTCAGGCTATTTTCAGAAAGCTCTTTTACACAAGAAACATTTAGTTACTCGTGCGAGTCATGATTTAGGAGAGTGTCCTTTGGTCCTATTGAGAAGCTAAAAGATAATATAAAACAATTGGATATATTATCTTTTGGCTTAGGATGATGTCTATAACCAGTGAGCCATAACTCAAAGATCTCTTCTAAATGGGCTTAGCAGTAGTGGTATGTACAGTATTTATGGATGAGAAAGCAATGCTATTAATATTGGTGAATGTTTCTGCTTTTTGGTTGCTATTGGAAGCCCTGAAAGAGATCTTGTTCTTGTCCAGTTGAATATTTAGTAAGCCAGTCTCCTGCAAACTCCACAAAATGTTACCAATGTAACCAATCCTAGGGTTGGCAGACGGAGGCACACTTTTATTCATCACATAAGTGGGTCACTGGTTTTACTTGGATTGAGATCAGAGAATGGATGTGTTACGAGCCTTTACTGGTTAAGTTAAGTAAGAGATCAGACCCAACAAGTTGTAGCTATGTATGATTGCAATGGATGACGCAGGGGCTAAGAACCACCTGACAAACCTTCGCATCGTGTCTGTAATGGCTCAAACGTGCAACTAAAGACAGGCAAGTAAAATCAAAGTTCAGTTTACTGAAGTCCATGGTCAAAACCCAGTAAATCAGGCAGAACAGGTAAACTTATCCTGCAAAGAGCAGGCAGGGAATACAAGGTCCAAAGATCAGGCAGATGTACAAACAGACAGGCTAGGCAGGCAGTTAATAAAATGGCTGGATAGCTAGGGCAAAAGCAAACTGGAGGATCTGCCAGAGTGCTAGTGGAGATTGACCGCTATACAGCTGGATTGATTAGGCAGATGAGAAGCGGACAGGTGACGAGAATTGTGGGAAACCAGGCTACTGCAGTGCAAGGGGGAGTTGCGGATCTGGAATGACAGGACAGGTTAGTATCAGGCAGAGCAAGACAACATAATGAATGTTATGAACTGGCAGGAGCTGTGACAGCATAGTTCTATCCATTAAAGTCATTGATTATTACAATCATGGAAAGTAATAATATGGTATAATCCATAATATAAATGTTTTAAATTACTAATTTCTATTCTTTGTTAGTCAGCACAGCTCTGTCAAAGGTGCTTTTCAAACAACCACACATTACAAAGACATTGTTCAAGACACAGTTTGGTAATAGCTAGCTTAAAGATAAGATCGCGGTTGATAGGATGGAGCTCTCCAGAAGTCCTGTTCTCACAATGAATCTGTGGGTTCACACACCTTACAACAAAACTCAGGGGGACTCAGAAATGTAGGCTTATCAGTGGCTAACGTTAGCAAACTAGCTAAGAAGACACAGCATGTAATTATGACCAAGGGCATAGAATTTAGTAAGGACTGTAGGGACATGTCCTTACCAATATCCTGCAACTACTGAATGGCCCCTAGCGATAATTTTGATCAAAACAATTAAATATAACCACTGTCGGTCCCTCTAGTTAATGTATTTGGAAAACAAACACTCTTGTTCTCTAACTACGAGTCCAATGCGTTTTTTAAGTTTTGAAAGATTACGTCCTCCCATATGCCTCACAGTGGTTTGGTATGCTGTCTACCTTTTTCAGAACTTCGGGCGACTTTATTTCTAAAAATCTCCAACTGGGAGATGATTTTATCATCCCCACCAAATTACATGAAATATCTGCCTTTGATTATGACAATTTTGTAGTTCCTTGAAGTTCATTTCTCATCTTTTTGTAAAGGGAGGCAGCTTCCCCGCAACTCCAGCCCCCATTGCAAGCTCATGTGTATCACAGCAGTCTTTCCACTGAACGCAGAGAGGGCAAAGTGATATCAGTCATCATCAGTCAAACTACTGGTTGACAGCAAACAATCTGACCTCCAAATTGTAGCTTACTGTAATGCGAATAGCCTACTAAATTTCAAATTGCAACCACAGCTCGTTACTGAAAAAAGTAATTACTTTACTGTAACACGTTACTAAGTATTGCATTACTGCCAAACACTGGTCAGCTCCATCAACATCTTTAGAAGAGTGTAAATGTCTTTTACATCTTTATCTTTTACAGCTGGCTAGCTAGCTGGCTAGGTTGACAGGGATCCTTTGGGGAGGCGTTGAAAAGTTGCTGTTGGCTTTGGAGGTCGGTGGTTGGCAGGACAAAATATTCTGCGAATAAAAATGTCTACATTCATGCCATGAAGTACTGAGGGAGTTGGTGCTCCATGAGTGGCTTGTTTACTTCAGTTAAAGCAATTTTCAAAACATAACACTTATATGGTTTGACCTCTCAGCCTCAGGGGATCTGGACTGTCTCAGAGTATTATATTCAAAGCAAAAAGGAATTTATTGTCAACAGTATGGTTCCTGGTCAACATTATAGGCTACAGTAAATTTGAGCCCAACTAAAGCTGACTGTTTGATGTGTTTTATGCCTGTCAAAGTGTGAAGTGAAATGGGAGCTGTCACAACTCTCTATCTCAAACCCAAGCCACTTAGCTGCAATTCCAGTCTGCCTTGAAATAAATCGAACTATAGTGCCTTTTTCTAGCCCACATCCTGAAGCTGCTGCAGATGTTCCTGTGAATAGACTGCGTGTGAAGTACTGTTGTACTTGTTGTGGATTATTTGAATAGATTACCATGTGGACGTACGCATGGATTAAAAGAGCTGCACGTTTTACAGGAGTTTCTGCTCACATCTTACAGTTTGCTCATGGGAATGTAAAGTTTAAAACGGTATTGTGTGAGTAATGGTGAACAAATTTGTTCTAGAAGGAAATACTAGACAAAGAGGTCATTCTCAAAACAATAACAAAGCACCCATGACCATGACGTATTATCAAGAGAAATGCAGCCACTTTCCAATTAATGAGCCTTTTAGACATTCTCAGTTTAAAAATTGTAGAGGTTGTTTTTCCTTTAAATTAAATGCAATGAGGCCTGCAGACAATAGAATGTTTTTAGGTGTTTTGCATCACAATTAAATGTGTATATTATAGATATTATATTTTCTAAAAAGTTATAGTACCAAACTATGCACAGAGAATGGATTTCTAATTTAATGGCTTTTCTGACAACACCGTGATTCAATTTGTAAAATAATTAAGAAACATTCTGGACTCAAAATGATGGATGTCCAGCTACTACTAATTAGTCCATTCCATGTGGCATGATGATGTAGCTTCAGTAGGCAGTAGGACCGTATTTTTCTGCAAGACTGCATTAAATGATTCAGGTTGATGTATAACTGTATAACAGAAATCACCTGTTGCTAATTTAATGTTCATTATTTTACATGCTAAGGTTTCAGCCTCTAAAATCTGCTACATTCCTTTACTCACACTGGTCCATAATATCAAATTACATATTCTAAACATTATGTACACTGACATTAAAACAAGTGAAATATGTAATAAATGTCTGTGGGGGAGAAATACGTCCAGCTATGCAGAGCACATACACATGACACCCTTCCAAATAATCACCTAAAATTAAGTCATTTTTAAACCATGATGGATGACATGTTCTTGACTTCAGTTTCTGCTTCTTAAGTTTTGTTAATGGCAGAGTTGTGCTGGCCCCTCTCAGCATATTAATCATTTTTGAGTGTTGCTAGTTCAGGGAGCACTTTGGAACTAGCTTTAAACGAGTTCTACTTCTGGCAAACGCTATGAGGAAATAAACTACAAGGAATGATAATCTGAGTCTGTTTTGGCTTTAATCAACAGAAATCTTATATTTCACTGGAATCTGGCTGTACCAAAGAGAAATATATCTAAAATCTGAGAATCCACCATGATTCCCCACCAGCAAACCCAGATTTGCAGATGTCTCTAGTTTAATGGAAATTTTTTTGATCTATGTTGCCTTTAGTCCACTCTGGACTATTTCATTCTTTTGCATTTTGAATGACCTTGTTGTTGAAATGTGCTATACAAATAAACTTGCCTTGTCTTGCCTTGCCTTGCATAATGGACTAATTATTGGCTAACACACTTCTATCTCCTTCTTTAAACAGATATTTTCTCATTCCTGTTTCCTGAAAGCTTTTTTTAATATAGAATATTATATACAATATAGAACTGATATTTAAAAAAAACATCCAAGAAATGCTGATAGTTTATTATGGAAATAATATTTTTGAAGAGATGAAAAGAAACTCCTTGAGATGATTCCAGGTCTGTGTTTCTTCATTAATTTTTTTGTCATGATACTAAGCCCCCAAAACACGGCAAAAAGATGTTCCTTATTTGTGGAATTGATTGAAAGAATTAACTACCATTTCTTCTTTTTTATTCAATATGTCAATGGCAACTATAGTATAAGGCTAAATGGTCTGGAAAATTTATTTAATACAGTATAAGCTTTCTCACTGACTTTTGAAAGCTAATATTGAAACATGTTGTAGTGGTTGTAAAAAGGTGGGGGCATTACGACAGTAACTAAGTACTGTAAACAGATGATACCAGGGCCATGGTCACTTGCAAGTTGTTTTCTCTAAATTGGCACAACTTAATTCCCCAATTGGGTCAAAATAAATCACTAATGAGATCTATCTTTTAACCTTTTTAACAAATTCCTCCATCAATCACTTTAAGATCGCTACTTCAGTGTCATTCCTGGGTTGTTGGACATAATCTGTCTTTAGCTATCGATTATCTCATTGTCCTAATCTCAATCACATGCTGAACACACCGATTCAATGAATACATTAAGAAGGCATTTGAATACAAACACTCTTCCGTGTCTGAGAAATGGAGAGCACAGCAGGTTGTTTTGGTTGTGTTCCATCTCGCCATATGTTTCCAGTTTTTATTGTTTTGGTTTTGAAAAGCTAAGACTGCTGTCAGAAAAAAAGATAAGAACCATCAAGTTGAGCAAGAGACCATGAATCAAACCTCCTCTTTTTCCAGCGTAAGATGAAGCATTGTTTGAATCTGCACACCACATGGTCGATAAATTCTCTTGGACTGTACCTGGATGAAAAGGCTTGGCTATTTTCTACTTGCAATCCCTATTTCTTGAAAGGGGTCAATTAGATGAGGCTGTAGAATAAGATTTGTTACACTAATATACAAACAACAGTGAAAAAGACATTCTTTAATGCTTGCGTAATTATTTAATGGGCAGTTCCTCTTTTGTTCTGCAGCACACAAATTAGTGTTTGGTGATTTGATCCAGGCTCCCTGTTGCTTTGTAGGCCTAAGATGTCCTCTGGATAGCTTTTTTCTAAGATGTGAGGAGTTGTGAACGTTGGGTCACTGTTCTTAAAGAACAATAACATACAGTGAAACATGTGAGCTAATTATTACCATGAGGATGCTGCATTGTTAGGACAGCCAGTATTCAATTTGAAATGTGCTATTGAAGTCTGTTTATTGCATAAGCACTGCCAGTTTTTTAGTTGGTTTTGGTTTGCATGCTGAGTTTTATGTTGCCAACCAGTGAAGATTGAAAGTATATTTGAAAGCCAGACATCACTCACAATTGAACAACCCTTGTGCTCTCTTAGCAGAGATTCTTACAGTGACACTGGCTCAAGGTTACAGAATTGATATAGATTTTTTCCATGCCAACCATCCTTACAGACACATAATTAAAGGCTTTACATTGGTTAGTGGGATCTTTAAATATAGAAAAATGTTCAAAAAGACTCTCCACTGCCCTAATAAATCCATTCATTCTTATTTTGTAAATCATTTCTTAGCAAAGTGGGATATTTTGTTGCAGCTATCATGCATGAGTTGATCATTAAAAACAAACGTTTGGGGGCTTTTAAGATGTCAGACACTGAATACAAAACCCCTGTCAGTTTGAAGCCAATGCGTTTCAGATGGTAACACTAAAATGGCTTTTGATGAAGTCCCCGGAGAAGGGAATGTTTTGGCTCGTGTGGGCGCACCATACATGTGACAAGCAATTGTTGTCTTACTCGAGGCTGTCATTACCATCTGAGTAGATCATTATAGGTCTGAATGTACTTTGTTATGACAGACTGTAAACCGTTAGTATTTAATGATCCTTACTTCAGACATGGAGATTAGAAAGAGCTTGTTCATATTCTGTTCAATTGAACATGGTTCTAGGAGAAATGTTATTGGGTTTTTTTGTTCACTCAGAAAGTAGACGTAAAAAAGATTTGATTTTTTCTGTGACTATGTCACTTTAGGCATTTTGACAAGTGTAATCAGACACTGTGTCTGATAAACCAAGATCCTTCAGGTGTATTTAACTTTGACAAAATGCTGTGGTTGCAAGGTGCCCTCACATGGATTTAATATTTTAGTTGCTTTGCAATGAGTGCTTTGTTTGAGGTCGTATCAAAGAAAAAAACACATTTCCGTCAAGAAATGTCCATCTTGTTTTTTAAAACATGAATTACAATGAGTAATTCTTGTTTTTGCAAAAAGCAGACTTTATAGCAGACTGCAACATTTTACGATGTAAGTGTGTTGCATCTTTTTAATTTTTCTTTTTTAAATGTCCCACTACAATGGTGGGGGTGGAATGCATCAGTATCAAAGCAAAGATGGAAATATGGGTTCTCTCAAGTTTCCCTTATCACCCATCTGTTCAAAACTCAAAGCCAAAGTCCAGTGTAATAATGTATCACATGTGAACAGTTTCTTTATGTTTTATGGCCAATGTTTATGATAAGACGACTGTTACGTGTAAACACCAAGATAAATGATGAGAGTGTCGGAGATGTGTTACATCTGGGTCTGTAGTAAAATAAAACTTGGCTCACAAGTAGCTCATCTGCTGAACTCTCAGACAAACAGACACAAATGGTGTCAGGTTCTTTTTTGCTTATTTTATTTTTTGTGTGTTTGGAAGCTTTGTGTGCCTTCAGCTAGGCTTTATACTAAAAGTTAACCATTGTTTGTTTACACATCCACTCCCACAGAGAGCTGTATAGGTAAACGTAAAAGAGAAGAAACATACATAGAAACAATATAAACCCTCAAGGCTATTACTTTGCAAAGGCTTAGTGTGAAATTAAATTCTCCTAAACACAGGAAATTACACCATTTGAGCTAGATTAAATATATACACAGTTCAATGTGTGTATTGCACATGCAGCTAATGAGTGAGGGGGCTACTGATTATGAGTCATTGCTTTCTTTCTGCATGTGCAATCATCTGAGCTCTGATCTGTTTGTCAGGGCGCCCCACCTACTACCAGATTTATATTATTATACCAAATATTACGTGATTCGCTGCACAAAGCAGCTCTTATACTGGGTTTCGACATGAGAAAAACAATCCTGTGGATAAAGGGATGCTGTGTATTTATTGCAGATAGTATCACGCTACTATGAATGTATTATGATCTGTTAAAAATGCAATCATGTCTTTTTTTTTTGAATTATTGTAGTTGTTTTGAAGATCTTAAGAAATTATTTCAAAGATGGGGCTAGCTTGGCAGGTGCACCAGCTATTTGGAAATCTATTACTAAGTTTGTTTGTAAAGTCCTTCCAAGGGTCCAACTATTAACTCTCTTCAAGCAAATAAATTACTTAATCAAGTTTGCGCCATTAAAACCTAAGAAATGTCTAAATTAGTAAAAACTTTATGGAAGCTTGCTATACCATCACTAATTCGTACATAGCTTTTTAGGGGAACAGCAAAGGATAGCCTATATTAAAGTCAATGGACATAAAGTTGTGACTCTGATGTAGAGACAGTGCACAGTTAAAATGTTACGTATGAAAGATAAATTTGTTACTAATTAATAACTTACCACTCTGAAACTCTTGCTCCAGTCCACGTTGCGAAGCTGGTTCAGGAACATGTACAGCTGAACCAAAGCCCTGGTTACCTGGAGAAATATTAGCTTTTTAGAGTAAGTAGTATTCATGGAATTTAGAATTCAGTAGTCTAACATTATTGGCATAACATTTTGTAACATGAGGAATGTTGTTGTTGTTAAATGTCATTGAAAATATTCCCAGTTTAAGTCATTATTAAATATCATTTTATCATATCATTATTAAATATCATTTTTATTAGTGCCAGACCAGATATGTTGACCATATTCTATGGGCTCATTCAAGACTTTTCAAAAGAAGGCCTGCTTTTCTGAACCTTCTTTGAGAAAAAAACCCTTCTGTTTTACTCCTGTGCTTACAAGCATTACTGATGTATAAAGGTGTCTGTTCCAAGAGGCAGGTGTGAGATATTTGGATAACTCCGGTATGTGAAACTTACAACATTAAAAGACGTATCAATCATTTTAAAAGTGAAAGCAGGTTCCAAGCCTTTGTTTTCATTTTCAGTGGCAGGATTGTGCTCTGTTCACATTTGGATGACAGATTCTCCCTTTCCGATCAGACCCTCATTCGAAAATTTTGAGCTGTAAAATATCTATTGTTACGTATTTTAGTCAGATATACTTATGTCAAGGAATTGACGATTAATAGCAAAGGGATATACATTTATATTTGGTGGAAAAGGCTCTATTGTTTGATGGAGCTCGCTATCCCAGTAGCTAAGAGGATTCCACTCATTCCCTTTAATAACATATGAACATATGAACTTTAATCTTAATCAAATTAATCGAGCACAGGAATTACTAACAACGAAAACTTGTGAAAAGAGAGGTAATTACAAAATCTAGATAAACTGAATGGCTGGCTATTTCTGGAAAAAATGGATTGGCCTGAATTGCCATCCTGTGGATCAGCCTTACTTTTCTTTTAATTTCAGTGTGTAGATCATTAGGCTACATCATTTGTTATTAACAGCAGGCAGATTGTGGCATATCTTTGGTACATCACCATAGGGTCTGTAATACATTACCACAGCATTTACAATTTATGAAACATCGTACCAGAGGAACATTTTCTAGTACCACAAGACCTTTTTGTAAGGGTTGCATCCACACTTCTGCCTTCACATCTAAATTACTTATATTTTACAAGCTAACGTTTGTTTGCTACAAAACACCCAGACACAGACACAATAATGTCTGAACACCTCTACTATTGTTTGACTGTGATTTATCCTCTAGGGGCTGATCACAGATATCCAGGTCAAGACTCCCAATTTCGTGCGTTGGTCATTGTTTACATCTGACCGGCTAATTTCAATGACGATACATTTTTAAAAAGCTTAAGAAGGAAGCCAATCTCTAGCGTTCTGAGATTGATATAAAACTAAATCATCCACCTTTTTTGCTCTTCACACAAACTGTTTACCTGCATGTTGCATTGTTTGAACAGGCTTTGGTTGCCAAAGCCTGTTCAAAGCCCATTCAAACATGACTGATCAGTCCTACTCGGCCCACAAACGGACTACAAACAGAAACCAGAACACTTCTAATTCCAAATTTTTGTCCATCGCCTACAGATTCTTCTCCACACCCAGTGTATCCTGGTTGAGATGTGTCTACAGTATGAAACTTTGGGAAACCACTATAAACCAGTTCTCAAACAAGTCAGTCAGCGAAGGAGAGTACTGAGAGAATATGGTGCTCGTAGTATTGAGACAGTCATGTTTGTCAGTGATGTTCCAGTCAGGATTATTCCTATTGCCCTTCTGTAAATGTTAAAGAGAACTTGGCATGGGAATTTTGCCTTCTTAAGTTTCTTAAAGAAATACAGCGGTTTCTGAGCTTTCTGTACCATGGTGGAGATGTGAGATAACCACAACACTTTCTCTGTGATGCTGGTTCCCAGGAACCTGAAACTGTTCACCTACTCCACCTCAGCCCCTCTATGTAGAACTGTGTGCGTGTCTTTGCCTCCTTCTTCCAAAAATCAACAATCAGCTCCTTTTTTGCTGACATTGAGCGGTAGATTAGGTGTTTTCTGTGCACCACTCTGCAAGACTGTTTCCTGATTTCCTACCGGTATGAAGTCTCTTTGTTGTTTGAAATCTGGCCGATGATTGGCTGCAACAGAGTTCTCTCCACGTCAGGGGTTGCAGTCGTGGGTGTATAGTCAGAACAGGAGTGGGCTGAGCACACAGCCCAGGGGGGCTTCGGTGTTGAGCACTAGAGTGGAGGAGGTGTGACTGATAAACTGGCCTTTTTCATGATCTAAGCAGATACCACTGCTTTCTTTTCATTGTGGAAGATAAATTCTGATTAGAGAGCTTGAGACAAATTGTCTGTGCATCCAAGCAAATCAAATCAGAAACATGTGAGTCCCATAGTGTAAATGATTTTGTGTAATTTAGCTTGTTTAGCAGAGGACGGTGTGGGGCTTCAGCAGTACTCTACCAGATGTTGCTCTTTGATTCCATGAAGTGATTATTAAAACATACTTTCCCACCAGGGTTTGGTTGCTGCTGTCAAAAATGTGTCTAATGAAACTGGGGATCTGGGTTGTGTTATTATTTATGTCATGAGATTTATGTTTCCCACAGAGAATACACGATTATTTGCACCAATAGTTCTGAGGTATTGTAGCCCAGGGAAAGGAACAGCTACTTGGTTTTCATTTATGCATCTTGGAGTTATTTAACATACCCAATTAACATCAATGTGTCAGCAGATGGGACAGATTCATTACTGGAATTACTTCTTTCTCTATGCATATGTGCATTTTGATTCTTTAGTTACTTACAGACTTTGTTGCTGGTGAAGAAAATAATGAGAAGTTGTTGCATTTTACACTTTCCCATTTCGATGACCATTAGATTCACCTACTGAGTGAAATTTCTCAATGCTTGTTGAAATTTTAAATTATGCTCCTGCAAAACAAATGACTTTAATCAACTTCAGCCATACTTTGTGTTTGGTGTTGATTGGCAAATTGTAGCATGCTAACACACTAAACATAGAGCTTAACATGGTGAACAATAGACCAAAAATCAGAATGTTAGCATCAACATTGTGAGTGTGTTAGCATGCTGATGTTAGCAATTAGCTCAAAGGACTGCTGTGCCTAAATACAGCCTCACAGAGCTGCTAGTGTGGCTGTAGACTCTGGGAGTGCACATTAAAAGCAAGTGTGTGCAGTGCACAAACACTACTGAAGCGCTAGGTCCGTTCAATGAACACCAAATCCTACCTCATCAGAACCAGCTGTCTGTCTGTCTGTCTGTCTGTCTGTCAGCATAGCTCCTGATGGGATCAGCAGGCAGCGGCCACTAAACTGTATTCTCCAGGCTGACTTATTAGAAATTTACTGGAGAAAAAAAGATTTCACGTAGGCTGAATGAGGATTTTACAGGAAGTAGCATTGTTTCCCCTCGGCCCATAGCAGGCAGCAGGCTCATAGGCACACTGGCTGCTCACGGGCATGTCTTGGAGTCAGTGTAGATTGAGACATTTGATGAAATGGAAGTGTGTTTGTTTCATTAGACGGTGAGTGACATCAGGAACACTTCTAAAAACACTGTGTAGGTGATTTGTTTGTTTTTGGTCAGTTGTCAGGTAAAAAAAAAACCCACATTCCACGGCTCAGAGACACACAATGTCTTTATCATCAGTACAATGATGCTCATGTTATCGCCATTTAAACCAGTTTCATGTGGATCAATGTAACCATTATAGCCTATAGTTTCTCATTTAGGTACAGTACATTCAGACCAGACTGTAGTTTTATTTTGCAGGACCTCTGATCATCAAGTCAGATGTTTCTTAGTATGTATCTATCCTTCATTTTTACGGCTGATGGTCTCATGGATTTCATTGTGTGGAATTTCCTGTAATGCAGTAAAGATGGCTAAGCTACAGCAAATCAACTCTACAGCTGAAACTTTCATAGGTATTTTTTTTTCATGTTACAAGTGATATTTATTTTATATTCAGGTTAAATCACAATTCATCACTTTGTGTTTTGACTTTTGATAACTCAGTAAGTAATTAAATATTCATATTGGACACATATATTCATGGTTCATGTTTTTGCCATTTCATCTCAGCCATCTGCCAGTTTTATGCATCCATTATACAGCCAATTGCTTTTCTTGACTATAGCCCAAATTTCAGGAGAACAGCAAACATCACTACTGATGCGTTACAGTTTAAAGCTTACTTCTGTTGAGGCCACACGATGAGACAGTGCCTCCAACACAAAGGGAATTCTCTTTGTCACATAATTACTTCGTAAACACTCACACTGGAGCCTTGGTGTTTCCAAACCTGCTGGGAGAAAAGCTGAACAGCCCCTTATGATACCTTCATGTATCTATGAAGGTATCATATCATAACATACATGATATTATGTTCTCTAAGAAAGACAGTCTATTGCTGTGTGGCAGTGGTGAGTATTGGACAAGGTGCAATGCCATTGAGAGGGGATGGCTCAAGGATTTGGGTCTTAGGATATCAAAGATTTGAACAGTAGGTTGCTTTGAATGAAAAGTCAGAAATACGTTGACTTCACCCTTGTGAGGGTTGAATATTGTGTGAATGGGTTCATAAAAAAAATGACAACAGAGATGTTATTGATTTTTGTGTGCACAGGCTTTCTCTAGATAGATGTTACAATACCACGAGGGGTCACTACTATAGATGTATCTGTGTGTAGCAGCAACAAAGCCTGACAGAAAGGAACTTCTTTGCAGCAAACGCAGCTGGATTCCAGTGTTTGTGGTTTCTTTTTATCTTTATTTTCCACATATCTATTAAACGGTGGCCTGTGAGCACCAGTGTAATGGGACCAGTAGTAGTGGCTCCAGTAGTAGTGTCTAATTACAGCAGTAATGTCTCCACCACAATACAGTAGTCTCCCCACTGTCTGACTTGTTCTGATGAGAGACAGCTATAGGACATATACTGTATACAGACATGCTGATGGGTTTCTGCCCTTACACATGGCCAAAGAGGTGCATGAATAATAATAAGGCAATGTAACACAAAAATTTGTTTAAAAATTTAACTTGAACAAAAGCAGCCGCAATTGATAGTTTTATAATGACAATGTATCAAATGATAATTGCAAAACAAATTATCACCCAAATCTGCAGCTCCCCTCGTCCCCTCATGTGGCATGAGCTCATCCCAAGTGGTATAAAATACTTTCGAACAGAACTCAACTTGACCAAACTTGGTTGAACTCAACTGATTTTAAGCTGGTACCGAGGTGTATACTAACAGCCATTTGAAATGTTGATCCACCCGAATACAGACATAATGGAGAGGTAATACATCTGTCACTATAACATTTACAGTAATTATAGAACCCATTGTAAAGGCTTGATTACTGCAGAGAAGACATTCATCTTTGCATATCATTTAAATGTCTGTTC